TTATGAAGATGTTGCAAAACTTTTTGACGTGGACTCAATGAATCGAATTTCAGAGGAGGCTTAGGTATTCCAAAATCAGTCCAGCCAGACAAGTAAATTTAGTGATGGGTTCTTGTAATGGTTGTTTGTTTAATGGGGTTGGGAATAACGGTCCTATTTCTTTTTCTTTTGTTTTTGGAGTCCCGGGAGGGGGGGGGGGGGATGTTTACGTGGTACGGGGGTTGTCCAAAGTGGGTGGTTTGGGGGGGAATTTTCAAGTGTGGGATGAACTTTAGTTCTAGAAACTGTGATAAAATTAACTTTGAAAGGGGAGGTTAGGTGAATTTAAGGCAAGGTGAATTTTTATAAAATATGAAAAATCCAATTTCTATACCATTAGTTTGCCCATACCATGGTACAGGTGAACATATGTTGGGTACCAATAAAAGTACGGTGACAACTGCTTTTGTCAGCTATGAATGAGACGTTCAAGGAGGGAGATTGGAGTCAGGGAGTGATCTGGGTGAATTTCTTCTTTCTGATGAAGAGAAATAGGTTGTGTTGAGAAATTTCTTACAAAAGATGGATTTGTCGTTAATTCCATCAAAGAAGAAAGGAAAAAGAAGGAAGGGAAATGGGTGGGTAAGGAAGCTATTGGTTTTTATGAAGATTGTTAGTTGCAATATTAGAGGTCTAGGGTCGTGGAGAAAGAGAGCTGCAATTAAGGAATTCTTGGGTATAATTGGTTTGGATGTCGTTGTTTTACAAGAAGCTAAGCTGCAAGTTATTTATAGGAGAGTTACTAGTAGTATTGAGTTTTTTTTTCTACCTCTTGTGGGTTCTTTGGGTGTTATTATTTGAAATAAGAGGTCAGTTGATGTGGAAGAATCACTTGAGGGGAGTTTACGATTTCAGTTATAATTAAGCTTAGGGATGGCGGTGACCGGTGGCTCATTGGGGTATATGGCCCTAACAAGCCTAGGGTGATGATATCCTTATGGGAAGAGTTAGTTGGGTTATTTGGAGTGCATAGTCCTAGGTGGTGCGTTGGGGGAGATTTTAATGTGATTAGGTGTCCTGCGGAGAAATTGAATGGAGCGCAGATAACTAAGAGTATGAGAGATTTTGACACATTTATTAGGGGAATAAAATTAAGGGATCCCGTTTGGCTAATGGTGAGTTTACATGATCTAATTTTGAAATAGAGTAAGAGGTTAGATAGATTTTTATTTATCGGGCAGTGGGAAGGTTGCTTTCCAGGGGTTAGGTACTTAGGTAGGAGGCTTTGTTTAGCGTGGTATCAAATCATTGTCCCATTGTTCTTATAGATTCTACGTTTAGGTGGGGTTCATGTCTCTATAGGTTTGAGAATATGTCGGTGGAGCATAGGAATTTTAGAGTAAGCATTAGAGAATGCTGGGAAGAAGCTAGTGTTCAAGGATGGGAAGGGTTTAGATTTATGAAAGAGCTTGAGGTATTAAAACATAAGCTTAAGGTTTAGAAGAAAAAAGTGTTTGGGGATATTAGAGAGGTGGATTCAGTATATTGATAGAATAGAAGGGGATGGAGGAATGGATGGAGAGTTGAGGAGAGAGAGAAGTGAGCTTAGAATAAGTTTGAGGAGGTGGTATTCAAAGAAGAGGTTAGTATAAGACAAAAATCAAGGGTTAAATGGGTTAAGTTGGGAGAAAATAATTCAAATTTTTTTCATAGAGTGACGAATGGTAATAGGGTGAGGAAATACATTAGTAAGATAGAACTTGAGGATAGATCTATAATTGAGGATGAGGGTATCATTGAGAGCGAGAATATCAGTTTTTTTGCCAATTTGTATTCAAGTCATGGTGGTGATAAACCTATTATGAGGGGTCTTAAGTGGTGCCTAATTGATGGGAGTGTTACAGGATGGATGAAGAGACCTTTTGAGGTAGAGGAAGTTAAGGAAGCTGTTTTTGAATGTAGTAAGGAAATGGCTCTTGGGCTAGATGGGTTTACTATGGCCATTTATCAGGTGTGTTGGTGTATGGAAAGATGATTTGATGAGAGTTTTTGAGGAGTTCTTTCATAAGGGAATTATCAATGGAGTGACAAATTCTACATATATATGCCTTATCCCTAAAAAAGTTAATTCTATGAAGATTAAGGATTTCAAACCTATTAGTTTAGTTACTAATTTGTATAAAATTATTTCTAAGGTTCATTCTATGAGGTTAAGGGAGTGTATGGGTGACAATATTTCAAAATATCAAGAGGCTTTTGTGCAAGGGAGACATATTATGGATGTACAGCTGGAAAGGGGACGAAGGGGTTGTATTGAAGATTGATTTTGAAAAAGCTTGATGATTATGTGGATTGAGATTTTTTGGATATTGTGTTGGAAGGAAAGGGCTTTTGTGGAAGATAGAGGAAGTGGATTAGGGGTTGTGTGGAATTAGTCAATTTTCAATTATTATGAATGAGAAACCAAGGGAAAGATTTAAGGCTTATAGATGACTCCTTGCTTGAGTCCTTTGTCCCCTTTCTTGTTTACTCTAGTGATTGATGGATTAAGTAGATTGATGGAAAGGGCAAAAAGATGTAATTCAGTGGATGCGTTTGTGATAGGAATGGAGAGGATTATAGTTTCTCATTTGCAATTTGCAGATGACACTAGTTTCTTTTCTTCGAGGGATAAGCAGAAAATAAGGAATTTAAATATGATTGTTGATTTGTTAGGTATAAGTTCTGGACAAAAGGTTAACATAGAAAAATTATTGTGGGTATCAACTCTAGTCAATAGAAGATCGAGAGGTGGATGTACAGTGGGTGAGTGGCCATTAAGATACTTGGGGATTAAGATACTTGGGGCTTCCTTTGGGTGGTAACCCATTATCTAGAAATTTTTGGGACCCTATGGTTGAGAAAGTGGGGATGAGGTTAGATGAATGGAAGAAATCTTTCATTTATAGGAGAGGTAGATTAACATTGATTGAGTTTGTTTTGTTTAGCATTCCAATATATTTCATGTCTCTTTAGAATGTTGGGGAGTGTGGCTAAGGAAGTTGAATGTTTGATGAGAGATTTTTAATAGGAAGGGGTAAGAGAGGGACGGAAGGACCATTTGATTCATTGCGAAGTGGTGAGCTGGACAAAAAATAAGGGGGGTTATTCAATAGGGAATTTAGTAAAGATGAATGTAGCTTTGGTTGGAAAATGGCTCTAGAGATTCCCATTGGAACAAGATTCATTGTGGCATGTCGTTATCAGGAACAAGTATGGGATCCAAGCTATTGGGTGGGATGCTAATGGTGTTGAAAAGGGTAATTTTCGGAGTCCATGGAAGTTTATCTCTTAGGGATTACCTTGCTTTTGTTAAAGGGTTAAGTTTATTGTTCGTAATGGAACTAGAGTGCGGTTTTGGGAGGTACATGAGTGGGTGAGTTTTCTCTCTCTAGTCTTTTCCCTCGATTGTATCATGTTTCTTCTTATCATGGTGTTTGGGTTGCGTCTATGATTTGGTCATATTCTCTTCCAATTTCTTGGGACTTTGATTCTCGTAGGAGTCTTAATAATAGGGAATGTTTGGAATTGATGAATCTTGTTCCTATGTTTTCTAATGTTATGTTGGTTCCTAATTTGGAGGATAGAAAGTATTAGATTGGTAATCCAACAAGTATTTTTTTTCTTGTAAATCTTTCTTTGAGTCTTTAATTGACAATCCTTTAGTTCCTTCTTTTGAACCATCACCAAAGATTTGGAAGGCTAAAGTGCCTTTGAAGGTGCAAGTTTGCACATGGATTATTGCCTATGGTAAGGTCAGTACAAATGAGTTTCTTAAAAGAGGAGATCAAATTTTTGTCTTCAACTGCAATAGTGTGTTATGCGTAAAGGCAATTATGAAAGTGTGGATCACTCATTTTTTAATTGCCCTTTGCCACGAGTTCTTTGGAATAACCTTTTTAACCTTGTGAATTTTTCTTGGATTGCACCAAGGGACATGAATTCTATGTTTTGGTTAAATAATGAGGATTATGTGGGAAATAGGAGATGGAAGATTCTTTGGCATAATGCATTTTTGCCTACATTATAAATGCTTTGAAAAGAAAGGAATGCAAAAATTTTTGACGATAAATGTGAAGAAGTTGAGGGATTATGGGATAGACTTCATTTCTTGGCTTCTTTTTGGACTTCAAAGACTAAGGAGTTTGATGACATCCCTCTTTCTTGTATTAGAGCTAGCTGGAAAGCCTCATGCGACTTTTAATTTGATTATTTTTTTAATTTTGTTGTTTTTTACTTGTTTGTGTTGGACTTCTTGTCCACCATTGTTTCGACTTTTAGTTATTAAAAAAAAAGTGTTTCTTATACAAAAAAAAAAAATCTAAGAGGCCATTCTACTTTGATCCTTCAATTCAAGAAGAGAGTACTACCAAACCCACATCAGATTATGTGTAAACCGAGAATCTTGAAAAGACTTCTTTGAAGATTACTTGAACCCTAAACAAATCATCGTGGTTGATTTGTCCAAGTGAAGCTAATTGTCAAGACCTCGCACTAGGGTAATCCAGAGGGATAGATTTGAGCAAGAAACATTTAGCATATTGGTGGAGGTATAACTCTTTAACCTTGTAATCAATTTTGGGAAATTGTGGATTAGGTTAGGTGAACTGAGATCGATTCCATGGATTTTCTAGAGATGGTTTCCACACTAAATTGCTTTTGTTGTGAATTGTTGTCTCTTGCTTTAATTTAGCACACAGTTGCAATAGAACATACTTACCATGTGTTTGATGAATTAATTGATTGATTGTTGTATTTCACATCATCATCAATTTGGTTGAATTGGTGGTTGGGCTTGCTGGAGGGGGATAAGGTTGGAGGATTGGATTGTTGTTGTGATTTGGTGAATTCATATATATTGCATCCATTGATCCATGGGTTTTTCAATTGATGAGGGGTTCAATAAGCTTTAATTGACTAATTAACTGGTTATTGTAGTTGAATGATTTAAAATTGTTGTAGGTTTAATCGGTTAGTAATAGGAAGATCTGATTAAACTTTTCCCAATTTTTATTTTCCTGCTTGTGATGGCTCCTGAAGAGAGCTCTAGGAGCTCACCTTTCAGTGATGTCCCTGAGGAGGATATTCCTGAGATCGCTGAGAATCCAAAAGAGGAGCAGCAACCAGCTGGTGATGAGGCTACAACAGACATGGTGAAGGTGATCAGAGGTGACAAATTCACATCCGCCACTATCAGAGGGATAAAGTGGCTGCTATGGTGGTCGTACTGCAAAAGTGTTGGAGATCAGATATCTGCCTGAGCTCCAATATGTAAGCTGACTCTTGTCTTTTCCTTCAACTTTATTGTTTAAATGAATATGATTTTTTTGCTAAGCCTTCAGAATTTTACAAACTTTGGCCATGAGGAATACTGTTGCGTGGCCTCATTGGAAATACATGAAGTAGGTAGTGGACAGGGCGCATCCTGACTATGCATTTCAGGGATGCAGGATTTGGGGCTTTTATCTCCTTTCCTTTCATCCAAATGGGTCATTCATACACCCATATGCAAGCCGAGAGGTGGTTCCCCAACCCCAGCAATCTTCACTTGCCAGTGGGGGAGTTTGTCCCGAACTTGTATAACTGGTTAGCTATCCTTGGGATTAGTTTGGGAGTTGGCTTGGAGGGACAACGAACTTTCACTTTGAGGCATCTGTTGCAGATTCTACGACTAGGTGGCCATGTTGTGAGGACTGACGAGAAGATATTGATAACGAGCGCTGTCTGCAAGAGTCTGGATGTGCTACGAGCTCTGATTGTTGGTTCTGTTGGACATGCATGATTCCGCTACCTTTTCCTATTTGTGGTCAGTTCCCTATTTTTTAATAGTCAATTACTAATTGTTCACATCGAATCATATTAGGGCATTTGACTAGAAGGCATTCTCTTTTGGTTAGTTCTTATCATGTACGAGGGACTACTCGATCGATCATGTGGATGCACTTTGTGGCTTTTGGCAGTTCATTCTGGTAAGCATTTGAATGCTTTGGTGGAGTTTTTTTTGTCCTCATCTTTCTTCCAATTTATGAAATTCTATGGCTTGGAGCATTTTGATCTAAGCGCCCGACCATTCATTCTCGAGGGATACCCAAGAGCTAGGATCCCAGCATGAGAATGCCATTTTGCCAATGAATTCTCTAGGCTAGGCTTCTCTGAGAGTTCAGTTGGACTTTGATTGTAATGACCTAGCATTCAAGGATTAAGAGTACTGACAGGAAAGAGTGTGTGTGTGGTTAAGGGTTCGGGGTTCGGACAGCCAGATTAGGTAATTATAGTTTCAGAGGGTGTGCGAGAGGATTCTGGAAGTGGTTATGGTTTGAATTTGGAGTAAAAGCGTCACTGGTGAAGAGAAAACAAGCCGGAATGAATATCTGGACGAAGTAGGGTTAGAGTATATTGGGGAGTTAGGGGATTTGGATGAACTTCGTTGGTTTAATTGAAGGATAATTCAAGTACGAATAAATTAATTAGAATTTTTATAGCTTGTTATTTAACATGATTGAAAGTTTAAAAAAAATATATTTTTAATTAATTGTCAAAAATTGGCCAAAATTGGAAAAAGACCAAATTGCCCAAGAAGCTTCAAGCTTCTTCCTATGGTGCTAGGTGGCAAGTGGAGGCTTCTAATCTCTGCATGAGCTCCACAAAGCAGCTTGGGGGAGGGTTACTTAGCACTTGGAGTTGGAAGGGTTAAGGCTTAGTAAAAATCGTATGTGTGGGGGAGTGAGAGAGAGAGAGAGAAAACACATTTGAATTTTTGGGTTTTCCTAGGAGGCAACTTCTAACATCTAAAGGTATACAACAAGCTTTATTTGTAATGGTGAATCTCCTAATATAGTTAGATTTTGATTTGGGTTATTGTAGATGTATGAATTGGTGTTTTAAAGTAATGAGTTTTTTGTGTTTTTTAAATGGGTTTTGAGTTGTGGTTTGATCTAATTAATTAACTGGTATAATGTTGTTTCTGGCTATTTATGGAGTGGGTTGGTAGTAGTTTTGGGGGGTAGCCGTGGTTGGTGGCGGTGGTTTTGGGGGTCAAAGGCTAAAGGCTAGGGTTTGAAGCCATGGAAGTTTGATCTCTTCAAATTTTGTGTTTGGGCTTCAAAGGAGAGGTCCCTGTAGCCAAAATGGACCCTAGGAACTTATTTATGGCCTTTATAAATGGATTGGGAGGTTCTTTGAGGGGTGAAAACAAATGTTGCATGTTTGACTTTGTTTTTAAAAAGCGATTATTGGTCAAATGGGGTTTAAGTGAGATTTGAAGGGTGAGATCAATTGGATTTGAAACTAGGAAATGTGGGGAGTTTGTAGGTTCTAAAAACAAGGGATTTGGAGTACAAGAGTGGGAGAACGGAGAGGCCAAACATGGGTAGTTCAGCAAAAAATTTTGCACTTAGGGCAAAAGTCAAAATGATCAAAGGTTCAAGATGAAGTGAAGGAGGAAGAGGGGGTGAACCCCTAGGCACCGCATCAACGTGTAGGAGCGCGTCCAAGGTCCAATGGACCTTTGGTTGGTTCCAAAATGTCCAAAACATCCATATGGAGGTCATTGTAAAATTTGAGGGCAATCTGATACTCCGAACTTAGTAAGGTGTGAAAAGTCTATTTTGCCCTTTAGGATCGATTTGACCTACTTTTTGAGGGATTTTGACCAAATTAATTTTGCATTCACTCTCAGATAGTTATTTATTGTATGTGTGAAATTCTACATAAAAATAACACTCCTATTTTTGGTAGTTTCGGATCGATACACTGCATCAGGGTAGGATTTTTTAGAATTCAATTTTAAATATTCAATACATTATTTATGATTGTCTAACATGTTTTAAAATGTATGATTGAGTGTTTGAATATTGACTTGGGATTTGAACCTGAGTCAAGGTTTTTGAGTGCAATTTTTTGCACAAATGCACAAAATAATTGTATCGTTTGTATTGAATGAAACTCTAGGATCCTTTTGAACTAAACATAAGTGCACACAGGTTTGAGTGACAAAGGTTTTACGTTCCAGTTTGAGACCGTGGAGGATTTCATTGAGTTTGTAAATGCCTGTGTGGCTTAGTTGGTCTTCAAACTTAGGTATCGAATTATGACTAGGGAGGTTATCTTCCTCAGGGTGCAAGTCTCCTAAAAGGTTGGATCATATGTTCGTATGGACCCTAAATGGTCTATTAGGATGATTGCCCGTCGGTGTAGCACTATATTGAAACTTTTGAACTCGTTTTTACAATACTATTTTGCTTAAATGTTACTATTTCACATGAAATGATGCTATTTCTCATTTAGACGCATCAAATACTCATTTTTCTTTTGTGCAGTCATGCTAGGCTATGTATTTTTAAACTCACATACCTAGAATTGAGTTATTCTACTAAATTGTTGATGCTCACCCTAGTTTCCCTCTTTTCAGATTAGCAGGAGGTGAGAAAGTATGTGAATAGTGGAATTGCGTCTTTCTTTGTTTATGTTAAATAGTGTGTGAGTTTGTAAAGCATGTAATTTTAATAAGTTGTATGCCTATATATTGAAATGTTACTTAGCATTGGACAAAGTAGTTCTGGTAACTGCATCTGATGTACGTTAGTTGAGCTTTTGGTAATGTTTGGATTATATGTTATGTGCGTTTTGACCTACTATATCACGTTGTGGTGTGTTAGTTACATTACATGCTTGTGCAGCAGGGGCAGCCCAACAAATCCGGAGGCCCTAGGCGAGAATATGAAGCGAGGCCCTATTAATAGCCAACAATTATTAAAATATATTCATTTAAAATCTATTTTTCTAGCTTTTTGAGGTGCAAAAATATTGATTAAATTTTTATTTTCAAGTTTGTTAATAGATATTTTTCAATAAATAATATAGTTAATCAATTTAATCTTTCTTGTGACATAGTTAATCGGAGATAAGATTTTATTAATTTAAATTTTGAAAAACTTCTCTCTGCTGAAACAATTTTTACTAATATTATTATCAATTTTCTTAAAGTTATACATGCATTTCGAAAATAATCTAATCATTTTATATGCCAGTTCGCTAAGTAAACTCACTCTACCAAGGGGCAACAAAGGCTGGAACTATTCCTCCCAAAAACAAAGGACCTACTTCTCATCCTAGGAGTTAGCAGGTATGAAAGAGTCTCCTTTCTGTCTGTCTCTCCGAGTTTTGACTACTAAGTAGAACTTCTGCAACAAGCAACTATCAAGATTCAAACATTTAAGTTTCTATCAAAAAAGGAGACATTCTAAATCAACAATAATATCAAAAATATGAAATCAACATATTAAAAATTCTAAGCACACCAGACTTTTAAATTTTTTTATGAAATTCCTAATAAAAAATGAGAGAGCAATTGAACAAACCAGTTTATTATAGTAGATTGAGCCCAAAAAATTCTGACCCTTGAATCTTGATCACTATCAATTAATTGATGGGTTTTTGAACGACAAGAGATTAGAGAATAGAGAGCTTTGATGTTCTTTCTTTGTTTAGATTCAAACTTCACACTTCACAGAGAGAGAGAGAGAGAGAGAGAGAGAGAGAGAGAGAGAGAGAGAGGGCATGACTGTGATTTGTGAGTGAATCCCGTGATGATAGCAATTGATAAATTTGTGCGAGAGAGGGGGAGTGATGTAGGGAGACTTGCTTAATTCCTTCGCGGATGTGAGAAAGAGAGAGAGAGACATCTAGTCGTCTACCTTCTTTGTTTCAGAAGTCTAGCAGTCTACTATAGCTGACAAGTGGATCAATTTTCTAGGTAAATTGTTAAGTATTAATGAACCTATCAATAAAATTTGGGCTCTCCCAAATCAGCCTATCCAAAATACATGTACCCATAACTAAAACTCTTAACAGGGACTTCAAAATTTTGCAAAAATTGGGGGCCCTAGGCGGCCAACTAAGTAGCCTAGGCCTAGGGCCGGCCCTTTTGTGCGGGTCAAGAAAACATACGTTGTATGCCTGATTGATCCAAGGTGTGACACTGATGAGCTAAGTATGGTGACTTGAGATCCCCATCATCATCTTGAGAAGCCTGAGGTGGCGGAGGTTCGAGCATTGCCTTTTTGTCATAAGCCTTTACCTATTTCTGTGGCAAGCATTGCCAAAGGATAGAGCCTCCCAGCGTCCCATTGCCACCTTCACATCTGATGGTTTGGCACTGGGTGGAGTGATGCTTTCTTCTACTGCAAGGGATTGCCTTTTAAGATGCAACTCGAGTTGGCCATTATTGATTATTATCGGTGGTTTCACAATCACTCAGTTAGCTATTTTATTAGTTTTACGTTCTTGGCCACTGGTTTGTTGGGTGATCTAACATTTGATATGTGGAGGCAGCTCTCTGAGAGTGGAGTCCTATTGTCAGCTATGAGCCTATGGAGTGTGCTGAGCAGGATGCATGGGATCAGGCGAAGAGTACTGAGGTTTTTGTGCTGCATCAGATATCAATGGGTCTTTGGTCTATGGTACTCCATGATTTGTGAAGACTTTATCTTCTTGAGGTCAATGATTCAAGTCTCTCTCTTCCCCCTCCCCAAAAAAAAAAAAGAGAGCTGCATCAAACAGGCATGGGTTTTTTTCTTTTCTTTGTCCATTTCATGCTGGTGGGGATCGAGCAGAGGGCGGCTCATCTGTGCATCCATGTGTTACAGCTACTTGTTTGAAGTCTAGTTTGGCGTCAGGAGTCGGGATCACTTTCTGGTGTGATCCCCAGGTTCTATCACCAAACGTTAGTGTTCAGGGTGCTGGCCATTTTGGTTAGGGGTGTCAATCGTGTCGTATCGTATT